GACATTAAAAATGAGATTAAGTGTTTTGGTTGTTCTTTGAGTGCTCTTAATCTTAGGTACCTATATTGCTCAATGAGGTAAAGGAGCTCGCTTATATGTATTTTCCATGATTATTTAGACACCACTGACATACGGTGAAGGTAAACATCGTGAGGAAACCTGGACTTATAATTTCTAATTATAAGTTTGAATTCGCCAACACACATTCATGATCAGAACATATGTGGGGTTACACAGGCAAGCTGATCATCACAATCACATGATAGTATAAAAAAAAGTCGCTTTCTCTGTCCCTATGTAAGCTTATGTTAGCTTTAAAACGACGCAACGGATTTTGATGCAGTTTTTTTAATAGATAAAGCGATCGAAGAGGAAAGGTTGTGTGTATAATAACATCTATGATATAATAGTGGAGAAATTGAGTATCTAGTGGCTGATAAAGAAACATAACACGTCTGGCTAACAAGTTCAGTTTTATCATAAATTCCAGTTGTACAGTAAGTGTAGTCATCATATTTCAATCCTAGTATTATCTATATATATGTAGATATATTTTTACATGAAACATAGCCTGATTGATTTTTCAACCCGAAACCCAATGCATACCAAAAAAAAAAAACATCGAAAACGTTTGACTCGTTTTCGAGATCAATTTGAAAACGAGCATTTGTTGGAGGAACATACAAAGATTATGTTTGCAAAATGTTTTTTCTTGCCATGTTTGTTATAAATTATTAACCTACTACTTGTGTACATACGCTGCGGTTTTTATTTCCTACATAGTAATAGCATTCAACCATTCATAATATCATTCAACCATTCAATTTCAGTTTAAGTCCAAAGTTGATATTTGCTTTCTCTTTCATCCTTCCAGTATTGTCATTTGACATTTTGTTTTGAACGCTTCTTTCATTCCATTACATTCAATATTCGTAAAGTCAGTCATAATATGTATTTCTTAACTATTTGTTCTTATCTAACTTATCATTACATAAATGATACAAATTTTGCAATAACACTGGCGCCTGTATTAGGAATCTACATATTTATTAATAATATATACCAGCTGACCTGGCTAATTCCGTACAGCATCAAAAAGTCAAAAGTCAAAATCATTTATTTCAACTAAACCATAAAGAGATACTTTTGAAGAGACAAAATAGACTTTTACGACCCGGTTTCTGAAAGTTATCTGATTGGTTGTTGATAATTCAGTCAACCAATCAGATGACTTGACAAGAGATTAAATTGATTTTAACATTGATCGGCCTTTCGGAAACCGGGTGTAAGTCTGTCAGTCTGATCGTCAGTGAAGCTTGGTGTAAAAACCTTTGTTCCCTTGTAAAGAGAAATAACATTTTTAATATTGTACACACACTGTAGTTTTTTTTTCATATTTTCTTATCGTTTAAACCTAAGTAAGGTTCAAGAACCTCCACGGTTATTTCAAGACCAATGTCAACAAAGACTGTCCATCCGTTTCGGAGTTTTAAGGAGACTAACAAATAATAATTTAGTTTTATATAATTATATTATTGTTTATTTGACATTTAAAGACTGTTTATGAGGTTACTAGAAAGCTCTTGTGACCACAGATCCCCAAATTATTTGAGGTCAACGTTGCAAGATGCAATCGATCGTAGATCTTATTTTGTGTATATCATTTAACCTGTCAGCCATAATTCAATTATGACTTGAAGTCGATATTCGCAGGTTCTTGCCAATAGCTTTAAATGCTAGTTGGATTAGGGATAGACAACATTGGCATAAAGACAAAGTCATAAGTTTATGTCAAATTGAGTGTGAGAGAACCAAGGAGGCCACGAATGTGCCCGCTTGACCGGAATGGTACTGTTGCCTGATAGAAAACCTTATAGGCTATATATAAGTTTTGCTGCGTTAATGAGGTTATCGGAGGATTTATCCTTCCCTCCATCCCCATCTGAAATTTTCAAATCTATAACAATCCGTATGAGGCCGATAACTCGAAACTCCTCGGATGTTGTGGGAGTCCATGGGTGGAGATGATAAACGTCAATTAATTTGTTTTTTTGGAATTTATTCTATTCGACTACCTACTGTTTATTCTGTTTGGCTATGGATTGGATTTAAGTAAGGATATATGTATAGTTACAAATGTATTAAGCGTTGTTCGATATAACGAACCAACTGTTAATAAATGAATCCATTTAAAATGAAATGAAACAAACAATTAAGTACTTATATTTAGCGTGTTTTAAAGAAGCTATTTTAGGTAAGCCAGATGTTTTTGCTATTCCAATGCTATGCAGATTACGACGCTTTTATAATTTTTTGGTTGAAGTTTTATTCATAATTGAGTAGTTAGATTCATTTTTATCCACTTGTTATTTAAAGCATTCATTTTATTATAATGAATTCCACATAATTATGCTTTGAATATTCGTAATTGGTGTTTAAGAATGAGGATGAAATCCACTAAAAAGTTTAAGGTTAAAAAATTACATAATAATGTGTCTAGTTACCTATTGAAATACTAAGACATTGTTTTGTATGGTTTTGTGTTTATAGGTAGTTGTTGCTATTGAAATTAGTTTTATTGTGTGCATCGGTTTGATACATAATATATGTACGATTCTACAATAGTTTAAAAGTATAATAATATGAAAAAGTTAAAATTAAAAGTGGTCAGTTCTGTGTCCTCGAGCGTACGGCTCGTAAAGAGCCAACAGACTACTACAGATGGCGCCCAAAAAGTCTATTATTCAGCCGCGATTGCGGATCAAGTACATTAACATACTACAACGCATACGCGCGCGAGTCAAAGAGCCAATAGATCACCACAGACGGGGCCCTGTTCGCTGATGTTCAGCCGGGGTTGCGGGGCAAGCGCAATAAGGCACCGCAGCCTCGGCCCAGAACTGGAGAAGGAACGGGGGTGTTTTTAGTCAGTAAGAGTCTGCCCGTAAGAGTCTGCCCGTAAGAGTCTGCCCACCCCCGCACTCGTCCCTGGGCGGGAGAATTCATTTAATGATTTCCCCTCACTAAAAAGTCCTGAAGCAGGAGAAATATTTGTGGCATGGCCACTGAATAAGTTTGACGTTAAGCAAGCGGGGTGATTTTCGTAGATACGTGATTCAAGCTCAAACCTTCTCCATATGAGAAGAAGCTTTGGGCACTTATTGGCTGAAAACAAAAGAATGTGCTTGAGAAGATTGATTTACTCTATTACATAGGTAGGTAGATACCTAGCTGTGTTGCTATGTGCAAAAACCACAATATTTGCAAATCTAAATATAAAAAATGCCAATGGATGCAATTTTGTAAGACAAACTGACACAGATACACCAAACTGTCAAGTTGGTACAAATTGCCGATAAAAACATTAGCTGCCGATAAGGGTTCCCACGTAGATCATAGTGAGCCGGTTCAATAATAGGGTTGCTGTCATCATCGTGTTTTAATTAGGCGTTGCAGTTTAATCGTTACTGTTTAAGTTTTTAATGTGATCACGCAATCAAGGCATGCGAACTTTTGTAGGCAATAATGAGGACAACATTATTTAATTTTCTTTAAAATTTTGTATTATCCTTATTGTTGAACAAAGGAATTAGGTACAAACACTCTCTACCATTGCGGCTTTTCGTTACTCTGACGATATCGTTGGTTCATCTTGCGGAAGGTGTGCGTTTTATATTTGATTCCTCGACCCAATAGACAGGACAGAGACTGGTTTTTGTGAAATACCGGACAAGATCATTAACTCATGTCAATGTTGTAGACTGTTAATAAAATAAGTTTGGCATATTTGGGAAACAAACCTATTTATTGTATTTTATGTGATAGGACGGCAAACTAGAAAACGGCTTACCTGATGGTAGGTAAGCAATCGGCTTCGCCCATGGATACTTGCAATAACAGATGAGTTATGAGTGCGTTGCCGGCTTCTTGGGGATTAGGGTCTTAGGGTAAATTTCGGGGTTGGGGAGGGAAGTAGGATTTGGCCCCCAGTAGTCACACGGCGCATCACGACGCTGCGGTTGTTTCAATTAGGTTTTCTATGTGACCGTGGTCACTCCTTTCGACCTGACCCATTTGTGCCGAAGTTTGTTTTTCACTCACTAAAAACATATCATTAGTACTCATCTAATAAAAACTGTTAGGCAACTAATTCTAAAGGCATTATGTATATAGGTACATATACTGGATTAAAAACCCGTAACAAAATATCAAACCCAAAATATCAAAACTGTTTTTGTAATACAGATAACGTCAACCTTGCAGGTAAAACTTTTTGCTTCATTCGAAGAATATTTAACGTTTTTGTCTAATTATATGAATATAAACATGCAAATTAAAAACAAAGGAATAAGTTTCGTGATCAACGATAATAAATTACAAAGTCGTTGATGAAATTATAAGCTTAGTAAAGGTTACAGACAAAGGGATTGCGAAAAAATTATAGTTTTAGCATTGTTAGACTTGTTTTATCATGATTCTGATATTGTTTGCAAGAGATTTCATCTGAGTCATTGTTTTAGCCCTTCCTCTGCTTACGCTCTATCATAGTTAACTAAAAATCGCGGGTCACTCACGCGAATATACCGAGTAAAGCTCTACTAGTTTCGAACCACAGAGGGGTTCTTCATCACGTTCACGTGAGTAACCCGCGATTTTTAGTTAATTTAGTTATGCGAGATTAGATCACGATAGTTACTATAAAAACGTATATCGGAGTATCAGGTTTATAGTTATATTCTTTACCTAAAGACATTATGAACTGTTAGTTTCTTTAGATTTTTTTCAGAAAAGACTGGCTAAATAACTACAAGTACACAATAAGACTTACTACTAAAAATAAATGGCTTATTAGTTTGATTAGCATTTTCATTAGATAAAGCTAACTAGCTAAATTTAAATCGGTCAAATTCAATGGAATTTACTTATTTCGAATTAATTTTATTCCAAATCGGTACGTATATATTATATTAATAACTAATTGAACACATTTCCTTTTCCAGAAAGGACATCCATGTGCAGAAACCCAAGAACTCAGTCCAGGCAGATGGGGTGGGCGGACTATAGCTGAGTGCAAATGTCCTCCCGGTACCGCCCAGCTTCCTCACACGAACACTTGCCACAAACTCTTCGAGAGAGGTCCTTGTAGACCAGGAGAATACTTCGCCCCCGTCGAGGAGTCATTCAACAAGAGAGGGTAGGTAAGCATCTGGACGGCTCATCATGTAAGCCTAAAGTTAGCTTTTCTTTCCTAATTAAAGCGAAAATCATTATTTTATTCGAAAATGAACCTTATCTTCTTTGTCTATGTTCACTAAACTTGGGCACTGTTTACTCGACTTAGCACTTTTTGCTAGAAGATATTTGGTGCCGTCCTTAGATACGTTTGATGATTAATTAAACTTTTCCTTAGATACAGTTTTATTTTTAAACACAATTACTAAGGATTAAGTTCACGGATGGAGCCCATTAGGGCTGATGTTCAACCGGGTTCGCAGGTCCAGTCGTAACAATGTATGTACCTCGGCTTCGCACTGAAGCAGGAGATGAAATGGGATGGTTTTTAGTCAGAGTGAGGAGTAGAAGGATTTTTCTCACATAAAAAATATTAAGTACAGATAGCAGTTGGTGTCTCAATAAATAAAATCTTGTTGGGTTAATGAGGGAGATTTCAAAGCAACATAAATGTACTGTAGTAGTAACTGTAGCGACATTCCTGGTCACCTGAAACCAAACAATATCTAGTGCTTAACACTTCCATAAAAGTCAACTGCACGAGCTAGTTCAGAGATATCTGGTAGGAACAATTATGTAATACGATACTTTAACGGTTTAAGTTTTAAACCTTCAGGGCTTTACGCCATATCGTGACAGGCCCAGTTAAATTAACCTTAAACCACTAACGTAACTCAATGTATTTAGTTAGTGAAAGTCGTTCAACAGTGTCCAACATTGTTTAAACCACTTTAATGGTGTCCAGGTATATTATTAGGAAAGTTCAAATTAATAGCTACTGGTTTGAAGACATCGTTTCTTTTACTTAATATTTTGGTAACTTGCTAAATAACAGCAAACTCTAGGCATCTCCTGAAAAAAAACGCTAATTCATCATTTGTACAAACACTATAACCTTCCCTGATAAATGGACTAACAAGCACACAAAGAATTGTATCAATTCGAGCCAGTAGTTTCGGAGATTAGCGCGTTCAAACAAATATATACTCTACAGCTTTATAATTTCTTTTTGATTTCGTTTGTGTTTTTGTTTTGGCACCGACAGTCGTTTTTCGATTTACCTGCCACTTAATACCTACCTGCATCTGAGGTCAAATACCTGAAAATTAGGACCAGTATACATATCGTACGTTACCTACCTGTTAGATTTTTAACAAAAGAGGTTTTATTATCATTTAGAAACGAGTTCATATACTTACCTAAACATATGAGTGCGGTAAAACTGGTTTTTGATTCTTATTCCAAACCAGAGCCTAATCTACATTTCTATTGCTTTAAACATTCCCACATCTTAAGTTTTTGGTGACTATAAAATGAACGCACTACTTCCAAGAACGATTGCATTTAGTATAACATAATCGAGCATAACAGTTATAAGTACATTAATATTTAAATTCTCCTAATGTTTCTTAGAAAATATTTCTTATAATGCTGTTTATAATATTGCAGTATCTCTATTATCTAAAGGCTAAGTTGCTAAAGATTTTATGTTATGACTTGACTCTGTTCTAGAACTTGTTGCATATGAAATTATGTTTCGACATAAGTTCCTAAGAAGTGGCTTTCATTGTAAGATTATTATATTACAGTCGTTATCCATTTATCTTGAGACGAAGACTTATTTTATTTTATGATATTTTCTATAAATTCACCCCTTCTAATGTTATTTAAAAAATGTTCTAACCTATTACAAAAAAGCTATGAAAAGCTGTTATTAAATTAAATATTTTTTGCGGGACCAAAAAAACCCAAAAATCTTGCACCACATTTACAAAAAAGAAAACCTACAAAATGACTTAGTAACTAACCAAAAAATTTCCTATCACGATTACATATTGTGAAACTGAGAAACCCCAATGCGTCTACGCAGCCTACTGAGAATCCATCATTATTCATTCCAGTGAACGCCAAGGTATGTGCGTGAGACCTCAACAGTGCGCTGATGAGACCTTGATCTACTGGCCTGCGGATGGCAAATGCTACTACCGGAGTACCCAAGGTCCTTGCTACCCTGGATCAGTATTAGAGGCTGGAGAAGACGGGATTGCTAATTGTTCTGTAAGTATTAAAGCGATTTTAAGAGACCTCTGAGTTTGTTTCGGCATTTATTCCCAAAATAGTCAAATAGGAAATGCCGGTTTCATTTATTTTTTCTTTTATAATTTTGAAGTGTGTACAATTCCTGTTTTATGGCTTACTTGCAAAAATAAATTAATTTTTTTCATTGTCATTTGCGTAGGGTATTTATGTGGTTTCTTAGACAAATGTCGCTTTTGTTTGAAATTACAAGTGTTATGACGAAACGAAATGGAACACATGGTTTTTCTAATACACCAAGTATTCAATCAATTACAGTGTGAAATCTCCGGTCCGCATTACTGGCCTGCAGACGGTAGCTGCTACCCCCACTATACAAGAGGTCCCTGCGAGAAGGGACAACTGTTCCTGCCAGGACCTAAGTGTGGCTGCGAGAGTCATCTACCTCATTATCATAATGAAACTGGATCTTGTTATGAATTAGGTAAGGCTCAATTTGGCTTGCGTTTTGTAGATGAGATGATGCGTAAGAATTTTTTAATCGGATTTAATAGGTACTTGTGTTTGTATTCAGTGTTGGTTTGGTCAGTAAGAATAAGAATGCATGTATTAGTCCACTTGTTACAATTTGGTACACATTAATTCTTACTAAAGATACTTACATTAGGATAGACTATTGTAACTACGAGTACTACCGGTACATAAATATAACATGTATTAGTGGTCCTTAAATTAGGCTTTGCCTTCATCTCTAGGGACTGAGCTGTAGTCGAAGTAAATTGCAAAAAAAAATATCTTTACTGTCAGTGAGCACACAATACATTTATTATAGTTTTTTGGCAGAATTAAAATATGCAATTGCGATAGAATAAGAAAAAAACATCTACAAGAAAGTGAAAATGAAAAGTAATCAGAAGAACAAGTAATTCTAATTATACACTTCTCACGGTCCAAATAGCAGATTGGACAGTATTTGGATACAAATATCGCTGTAGGCGTAAACAGTTGTGCAAACTAAATAAAGTTATTGTTTGTTTATCATACAGACATGCGATGCGTACACTGTACAATGTCGATTAATGTATTCATTCTTTATTACTTCTTTACAATAGTTATTTATGTTTTTCTTTGCTACAATACATTTTAAAATTGATCATTTATATCCAGTACCTATTAGGCATTTGTTAGCCTTCATAAGTCAATGTTGAAGAGGGAGTTAAAAAGTCATTCTTTTAAATAAAAATGGCACGCTCAGGCGTCTTTGTCTGAAGTTTTGCTTCGATTTGGCGCCACCCTACCACCCTTGGGCCGGCCCTGTCAGCCTTATTGGTCGAGAAAAAATAGCGTACCTAATCTTAATACAATTAAAAGTCTTTGGAACCAAATTAAGTTCTTAAGTCACTTTGAGTATCTTGTTTGTCTGATAGACATTAAGTTATAGTATATATATAGACTTGTCTAGACTAGTTCCTGACATTTTATGATAATAGAAATGAATTCTGAAAACATTATTTCATTTCAGATTCTGTAGGCCCGTGTCCAAGAGGTCACACGTTTTCCATAGCCGAGGTTGCTCCTCACGGCTCCAGAGCTGAATGTCGATGCAAGAGCTTCCACGCGCGTGCTGCTGATGGAGTGTGCTATCGATTGTATACCAGAGGACCTTGTGCCCAAGATGAGATGATAGCTAGAGGTGGACGATGTACAAAGGTAATGGAATATATTCTTTATGAAATCTCCATGCACTACATTAATCCACTTGGGAGATGTAAATAGGCTGACTCGACCGAAGTGATACCGAATGGCTTCACAGAAGACTGGTGTGAAGCAATGTTTTTATTCTGTGTTGTTGTATGAGTGACGTTGCTACAAGCTTGTTTGTTTCATTTGTTTCTTATGCTGCTTATGAATAAGATACCTGTAGGCCTAAGTATACACCTTTTATAGATACATCCCTTTTTTTCGCCCGGAAGATTCACGCTTTAACATGTCATGGTAGGCCCTCTGTTGTGACTTAAACTACGAGTAGTAGAGCTTTCTCAATTGATTCAAGAGAGCAAATCGCTGTTTTCAATAAAAAATATAAGTATGTTTCTTTTAGGCTGTTCATGGTTAGAAGAGAAGAGACCCCATTGTGACTTGAAACAAGCAGAGCTTATCTCAGTTGGTTCACATGAGCAAATAGATATTTTCAATAAATATATGTTTCACTAGTTAGCGGATTCACCCGCTGCTCTGCTCCATTTGATCGTAGCGTGATGTTTTATAGCCTATAGCACTCGAGAACATTGTAGCTACCTATCAGTAAAAGAATTTTCGCAATCCGACCAGCGGTTCTAAAGATTACCCCCTACATATAAACTTACAAATTTTACCTCTTTATAATATTAGTATAGATAACTCATCTATTGTGGCGATTTATTCAATAAAAAACGCACAGTATACTGGTAATTTTTGACTTTAAGATTATAATGTCACCTTTTACAATTCTAGGTGCCTTGCGCTAGAGGTCGCTTGTACGTGCCAGAACGTCGTCGCTGCTACCGACCTGGTACTCCTGAACCATGTCCAGCTGGCGAAGTTGTAGCTTTTGACTTCGAGGCTCGACCAGCGATAGACGGACTTAGCCATAACGGAGTGTGTGCGTGTGGAAACGGTGCTTGCAGTCGGCGAGAGGTTCGTTTAGATGTTAGTGTTTTTGAATACTCTTTACATTTATTTATTTTTTTAAATAATGCTTAATGCAAGTACATTATACTTAAATTAATGTACATTGAATTATTGATTAAAGGGCTTTGAATGCGATGCAGTATCGCTTAATTGCGGATAGTTGGTCGTCTTTGGGGTTTTTCAGTTCGTCTCTAATTTTTATTCTGTTTAATGTTATGCATAACTATTATTTACATAGTCAATTTTAGATGTACCAATATTTAAGTAATGTAAGAGACTTTTCTGTTTCACCAATACTTTTTATAATTATAAATAAATATATAAATAGAGACGAATTGTAGGACAAGTTTTGCTATAATACTGCACAAACCAAACAATAATTACTAAGAAGACAAATGTAACATTTCTTCTACCATATTATTTCTGATATCCATAATTTATAAAAGAAAATATTTCCTTAATTTCAGGTGGAAGCCTGCACCACACGACGCGGAACAGCACCTTACAATGGAACCTGTCACATCCTGAACACACAGGGCCCTTGTCCAGAGAACTCCTGGCTTATGAGGGACCAGAAGAACAACATCAGGTGTAAATGCATGCCAGGGAGGATCCCACCCAACTGTGATGAAGACACCAGGGTCGCAGTCAAGAGTTGATACAGTGACAGTGTATAATGAACTCAAGTGTAATTGATTGACAGTTTTTTCTTGAAATCTGACCTTTCCGAGAGATGTTGACTTAGGGTCAATATCTAAAGATTGGTATGGTTAATTAATATTTTCATGAACGATATGATATATTGTTGAGAAAAGGATAGTCAACAACAAAGCCCATCATTAAAAAGTATTTCGATAAGATTTATGTTTGGTTAATTAACAGGAATTTGTAGTGTCGGAATGTTTTAGCCCAGCGAACATCTCCCCCAACCACTTTATCAGAATTTGTATGGGGGCTGTTTATTAAGTAAGCTTCGATTACGCTTTGCATTACGAAAAATTAGATTTATTAGCTGGAACCTCGGATATCGCAAGATTTTTAAACTGCAAAGGATAAAAATCGTTGAATTATCTAATTAGATAATTCGAAAAAGAAGAACTATCTAATCAGAATGAAAGAGAGATTATAAAAATGGACCTATGCCAGATCAAGGTCATAACAACCTATCCCTCAAACATATACACTATGTGTTAACGGGGAGAGTATTTCTAGGGGATTTTAAAAAAAGTTATAATTTTTGAAGCTCGGATATTTTGAGGTATTAAAATATGTTCAAGCGGTCAGCTTTTTTATTTTAGTTAAAAGAGATTTAAGCTGCAAAGAAGTTTATCTGCGAATGTTAAGAAACAAAATCGTATTTATTGTAAGGTTTTATGTTTAGTAATTTGTACATATCTAACATAACAGATGTATTAGTTATTATAAGCTTAAGCCGATAAGTAAACGACTACAGTCAAGTAGGTAGGAATTAAATTAAAAAAATATTATTAACAAAATCTTTTTGTTAATAAATAAAATGCTAATGTACTTATTTATGCATTTAAAAACTGGCATTCTTTTTTGTTTTTTTTAACAGAAATGAGACTGCATGTATGAATGGCACGTTATGAATAAAAAAAAGAAATATAAGTATTTTTTATAAACATTGTATTTTATTTTTATTTTTATTAACTTATCGTTTACATTTCCTTACATTTAATTTTATAATAACAGTACAAAAATAGTCAAATATTTACTAGCTAATTGCGTGATGTCTGACTATAACTAAAATAATTATAATTATACTATACACAACTATTGCACAACACTAGTCTTTGTCTTTATTCATTTTTCTTTTAATTTCTTCTGTGATTGTCCTGGAAAAAAGAAAAAAAAAAAACATAATTAAGTAACATTTCATTTCCTTTTATCAGTTCTAAAGGAAATTAATTTTAAAGTCAAATTTTTCAATGAAATTCCTTTGAGCTTTAATTAAGTGTAGATTAAATAGGTTATAATAATTCATTACAGGCCCTCTGTATCTATCTTTTTATCATAGGACTGGACTGGTTTTGTTATAATCTCATTTTTTCGCTGGTTTAGCCAGCGGCTTCACCCGCAGTAATTAATTTATTAATTAATAGTAATTTACCAGGGTAAAAGTTTCCTATGTGTTCCATTCCAGACTATAAATCATCTTTGCCCCAGATTTCATTCAAATCCGTTCAGTAGTTTTAAAGTGTAAGAGTTTTATTATTTTTTAAAAAACGTTGCCCCTCTTTAAATTTTTCTGCTGTGTTATGATTGCATTTATAAACAACAGACCCATATATGTACGGATCGCACAAATTTATAATTAGTTGTTCCGTGCGGGAATCGAACCACGACACGTGACGTTACGTTAGTCAGAACGTGAGCAACAAACATTAATTTTCATCCATCCATTCATCCATCCAACATACATATATTATAATACTAGTAGGGTACTAACCGAAATATATCCTGTAGACTTGGTTGAAAGGCATCTCGATCGCCACCGTCGTCAATATAGATATCGCTGTCACTGTGAACACTTCTGGGATGTGCAACTGAAAGAGTAATTAAATTGATTTATATTATTTATTTATTTATGCAAACTGTTTTTAAAATTATCTTACCAGTAAGAAAAACCTAGATATGACTTTATTTGAGACTCAAATATTAGATTCATTAATTTCTGAATTTGTAGGAACATGAGTAAAAACCTACATCTCAAGCTTCTGTAATTATATAGTAATTCATACTTCCAGATATAAACTTCACTAAATACAAAAACTTAGACTAGAAATTCATAAATGTATTTTTTTATTGTCAATTGTTGATGGGGTCTTACAGTCATATATCTAAGTATTGTGTATAAGGTAGTTTAATCAAGACAAAATGAATATTTACTAGCTTACAAATAAAATAAAATTTGTCTTAAATTTTAGTTTACGCAGTAGAAATAATAGATGAAAGGTTTGAATATAAACCTTACGTCTATAGAAATAGGGTAACAAATACTTACTAGTAATAGAGGCGAGTAAAACTCTGCATGTCTCTGCACACCGACGTTGTAGAAGAAGATGGGAAACTGCGTCAGGTACACGCTGTACGCTATCTTGTTGAAGAACTTGAACACTCGCGACTCCAGGAATGCGGTTCCTATTCCTGTGGAGGTAAGAGTGAATTTTGAATGCAGGCACATATTGTATAAAGGTATACACAAGTCTCTGTATAAAATAAATAATATAAGCAATATTTACAAACAGTAGGCTGTTTGGAATGATTTGTAATGACTTGAAGCTTTCAACATAAGTCTCTAAATCGCCAGACAAGCGAGGAGATTGTAAAAAAACCTAATCACAACTGCATAGAAATGTAGAGGACATTCTTATTCCAGCAGGGAATTTTGGTAAGTAAGAGTCGGACACTCCCTCTAGCCGTACCCTGGGCGAGAGAAGTAATTTGATGATTTCCTCCAGATTTCCCAGCAGAAAAAAAACAGGGTATTTTCAAGGGTTAAGTGATTGAAGAGCCATGCTTCGGCATGAATGGGCCGGCTCGACCGGAGCAATACCTCGGCCTCACAGAAAACCGGCGTGATACAACCACAGCGTTCTATCCCCTTTCCCAATCCCTCCCCAGTCCCTAAATCTCAATGATTGCTTACCATCAGGTAATCCGTCTGCTCGTTTGTCGACCGATTACATAAAAAAAGACTGTTGAAGAGCTATAACTATACTATAGTAAGTTCAAAATAATAGGCAGCAAAGCTAGATAAAAAATATTTTGTAGTTTCAAGATGGTAAGTACTCGTAGAAACTTACCAGCATAATCATTAACTATGGCCCAATGCGACACACTCATAAACACCCCCCATAAAATCGGCGATAATGCTGAGAACATTGCTGCGGGGAAGTGTTCATACTGGTATCCTTCTAATCCCCACTTGTATGGGGTCGCGATGGTTGCCGTCATCAGCACCAAACAGAACGTCCATAGAAGTCTTGTTTGATTCTGGAAATGAAAAGAAAGAATAGAAACGGTCTGTAAAAACAAAAAGAAAAACCAAAGCTTGGCTCTCTCTGTGAGCTGTTTGGAGTGATACCACGGCCTCACAGAAATCCGGCTTGAAATAACCACAGCGTTGTGTTTCGCCGCGTGACTATGGATACTAGAGGCCCAATCTTTCCTTTCTCCCCATCTCTCCATCAATATTCGAAATCCTAATCCCGAAAGAGCCAGCAACGCACTCGCAACTCCTTTGGTATTGCGGGCGCCCATGGGCAGCGCCGATTGCGTACCTTCAGGTAATCCGTGTGTATAAGAAGACTCCGAGGGAAATCTTTTTTCTCAGCAGAAAAACTGATATTCATAAGAATTCCGGCTTTAAAATCTTGCAAGACTGCTAAGAGATTTCTCAAGAATTTTAAATTTGAAATAGAATTTAGAATTCTGATACTTGCACTTAATTTAGAATACCAGTTAGGTTCTAATCGGCCTTTCGTATATTTTTAACAGCTTGGGAAGATTACAAAAACCAAGTTTATCGTTCAGAAACATTCAACAACACTGTGAGAAGGTATTTAAATTATTTCATTTCAATACATCATCAGAGCTGCGGGTCTTATGTGAATTATTTCAGGTATCAAATCCAAAAAGGCCACAAGGAAGAAAAAGATGACAAACACAGTTTAATTATAATACTTACACTGGTTAGTGTGAAATTTAATTTCTTTGTTTTCATAAGGTACGCCATCACGACTCCAATCAAGTAGATGGTAGCTCTGTGTGTCGGCAAAATGTAGGAGTAACGAGCTGCGTCTAGCAGTTTTTGTACTCTGGAAAGAAGAAACGGACATTTTGAAAGGAAATTCCACGTGACCTATGTCTTCAAAGATACGAATTACCATTGAGTAATCATCATTAGCGTCTTCTGAAGTCAGATTTACTAAAAACTTTAGTATCAATCTACCTCAGCGGAAAATATCCATAAAGTATTGTTAGGTTGGTAAACCCAGCGACGAATGCGCACCGTAATGTTGGTATGACATGCGCGGGCTGCGTACCGCGCGTTCCCGCCTATTTTTTAAAAATAAATTAGTGTGCCACAGATTAGCGAGTTTGATTGACGTATTGCATCGTTCCCGTTTCCCGCGCAAATACATTACAAGTGGCGACGAGGGGACTCACATTTTGAAAAATGTCCACGGGAGCGACTTTTGGCGTTCTTACAACGTTTGACCACTCATCACAAGAGTGGAACAACTTTAAGTTGCGATTAGAACAATGGTTTATCGCTAATAATATAAATTTTGAAACCGACAAGGCAACCATCAAGCGTCGGGCAATACTGTTAACGTCATTATGTGAATCGACATTCAAGCTTATTAGTGACCTGGCGTTACCGAACAAGGTGGAAGAATTGGGTTACGACGCGATTGTCAAACTACTCGACAGTCATTTTACACCAAAAAGGTTCGGGTTTGCAGAGAAGTCCATTTTCTATGCAGCGACCCAGCGACCAGGCGAAACGCACACTCAATGGGCGGCCAGAATTAGAGGATTGGCAGCGCACTGCGCATTCAAAAATTTGGAGGAAGCCTTACTGGACAAATTCATCATGGGCATGGCACCGGGACGTGAGCGCGACAAGTTGTTCGTACAGGACCAGCAGGAGCTGACTCTCGCAAAGGCGATCGACTTGGCGGGTGCGTGCGCGGTGTGCGCGGCATTGCGCCCCGCGCCGCCGCACGCTCCTCTTGCACCTTGGCCGCTGCCTCCGCAACCATTTTACCGAATTCATATAGATTTCTTAGGGCCGTTTCACAACTACATGTTTTTAATTATTGTAGACGCATACAGTAAATGGGTCGAGTGTTATAGCATGG